CCTAGAGCCTGTGGAAATTGGTCCAACTAGCCAACCCTAAGCCTGCTTACCCTCCCTCGTCTGCTCTTCCCTGCAGAAACCACAATAAAGGCTGCTGCTCGTATTCCCCTTTTCCCTCTGCCTCATTCTGACCTCTCGGATTCCCCAAGTGGCCTCCATGGTTTGGCGTGACTCCTCTTGGGAACTGTGAGTGACTGTCTTTGCAATGGCAATCATCCCCTGATCTGATGACCTTACTGTACCTCAGCTTTTCTGTTAATACACTATACTTCAAAACATTAGTAGAAAAAATCCAGAGGAAATCATAAGGAAAAAAATACGTCAGAAATTATCCAATTCTCAGCCACTCAAGCCAAATTTACTAAGTCTCTAAGGGCAGAAAAGCACCACACTTGCTTCGAAAGGACATATCCTTTTACCTGGTATGAGTTTGTAATTCAAGAAATCAACGCTTAATAATTTTCTTTCATGACACCAGGGATTCTCATATCTAAGTGAGAATCACATAGTAGGGAGAGATCTTAGAAGTGCATATTTTCAGCTCTGAACCAAAGCAAGAATCTCCAATCCTATGTCTCTGCTCAAGTTTGATCTGAACTAAATGGTAAGTAAAGAATAAAACATTTTTCTTTTTAGGGAAATGTGTCTTTTAGGTAAGAAAGACACACTGTAGAACACAACTTTACACAAGAGAGAACTTTATACAAGAGAGAAAGGAACAAAACATGAAAAAAATAATATGAAAACATTCATCCTTTCATAAGATCACTTAACATCTAGCTAAACTTTTAGGTTGTTAGAAATTCCCTTTACACACATCCTGAAGTTTTAAAAAAATGTACAAATTCAAATTAAAAAGTAAGGGCACAGTAAATCCAGAATCCTAAAATCACTTAGAAAGTTGAATAATTTAAAAGACAGGCATATATGATATAAATTATTTTCAACTTTCATTTAAAAGATATATTAAAATTTAGAATAAGTACAAATGTGCACAATCTGCTCTTATTTCTAATCTATCACAAAATAAACATAAGCAGTTCAAAGGCAAATATAACTTTTGGTCTATAAAAGACACAACTGGAAGCCACTTTGACTACACGTGAGGATGCAACACTCATTAACACACCTACACACATGCACACAAACACACGCAAACACTCAGTTTTTCTCCAATTTCAAAGGTGTCAGAAGATGCTTGTGACCAAGAAGTTAGACATGTATGAAAACAGTTTTGTGAAGAACAAAAATAATTTTAAACTAATATATATTCCTAAATATATAAATATTGAATATATACATATATATTTGTTGTTCGTTATTGGAACCAGTCTTTAGTGGTAAGCCATTCTAATAAATGAAAATACGTTGGACTATTTTTATTCATTAAGCCAAAATTTTCTGGGGCCATATTTGCCTGCAAACAAGCTGTGTAATTCACACAGTGAAAATTAAGAGATTTTATAAGCACTTGACCTAGTTTTCAGCAAATGCCTCCATATTTGCCAACTGAAGGAGTCAAAGTGAGTCAAGAACTTAGGATTTTCATCTTTGTATTCTCAGCAGTGGCACAGTGTCTGTCGTAGTGTGAGTACTAAATAGATGTTTTTAATGAATTAAACAGAATTAAGAATACAACTGTAATGATGACCTTTAAATGCTAAAGCTTCTCCAGAGGTAAGCCCTGGACAAATTAACATAAATGTCTTTAAGTGTGATATATTAGAAAAAAAAAGTGTGATATATCAGAGAAGATTACTGTGCACAAAAATCTACTCAAACCACATTCCGGTTGGTTTCTAACCCTTGAAAGTCACAGACAATTATATGGCAAAATACTGTACATTTACAAGTAATTTGCACCTGTTTTACACTCTTTTTAAACATTTTTACCTTTCTTTAAAAACTTAGCTATATATAAGGAGATAGTGGAAATAAAACTAAGTCTCCTTAAATAAGATAGCTATTTCAAAGAAATCTGGAGCAAATGTGCAATTAGTGGGAAACATTATCAATATAAAAAACATAACATAAAGAAAAACAGTCAGAAAGTCAAAGTCTACATCTTAATAACGATATAGTTACTGAAGGTTCTGATGACTTTCCAACCATGAAGTTTCTCTGCTAGCCAAATTCCTTCTGGGGTCGTGGCATTCCACCTTCCCGATTTCCCTTTGCCATTACAGATTCATTTCTTCTTCCTCTTTAAAAGGCTACAGCTAGGGCTTGCTAACAGAGGGGCTCCTGGCCTTCTCCTGGTAGGTAGGAAAGGTATACACATTTCATTAACATTTTCATTTTTATATGCACAGGAGTATCACAGGAAAGAGGTGGAAACCCAAAGAAGCAGTTAGACTCAGGTGCTAATATACTATTTTTAACAAAGGGTAATCAGTTGTGGAGATATGACTGGACAAAGGAAGGGGGTTTGGGCTTCTAGGGAGGATAAACTATGAGAAAGTGACTAGGAAATCTGTGGGGGGAATGAACGGAAGACAAGGTTTGTTTACTCCGTCTCCAGTGATCAGGGTCTCTTCATCCTAGTATGGGTGGGGGGAGGGCATTTATGCTCTACTTTCAGGAAGACAGGAAGAGAGCAGAGAATGCTTGTGCCTGCTATTTCTCAGTTGCTTTTAGCTGAAAATAATCAGTATGTCAAATTGTAAGGCACAACTTAGGGTAGTACAGTCTGGACTGCTTCACAGGAATGGGTGAATAGTCACATATCCTGGATCTGAGGCTGCTGAAAGTTATCTTCAGTTCTGTTTTAAAATGTGTTCTTCAAGACACCCACGTAAAGGGCATCTTAAGAAATTTACAAGTGAGAACAGTATGAGAAAAAGATGCTGAAATAATGACGTCAACTGCAAGGCAAAGAGATTTTACCGAGAGGCCAAAATAGCCAGGAAATAAAACATTTTTCACGAAACCAGTTGGACCACCTTCACCTGATGTCATTTTGTGGGTAATTTAAACCAGGGGTCCCGGCTAGGCTCCCAGGGGTGGTTAAATCTTGCTTTGGATTTTTTTAGCCTCTGATATTTTGCTTTATTTTTTGTTGGTTAATTGTGTGTATAGTTTCTTTTTGTATTTTGTTTTGTTTGTTGTGTTTGCACTTCTTAGCAATTTTCATTGCTAGGTCTATGAGATTAAAAGGGTGAGAAAAATGGCCTCAAAAATATATGAATCGAATGGAGGCAAAAGATGCTCTTTTTTCTTAATCATGAAAAAAATGAATGGCACTTATTGTAATCAAGGTAATCAAAACAAATTACTATCACATCACAGAATGATTAGTGGCTTCCGCGAGTTGTCTACACAAGCAAAAATATTATTAAGAAAACAACAGATCCGGGCTCATGTAAACTGCAAGGCATGAAATGAAGACACAGTCTTTTGTCTGAAAAGGTCTCCGAAGAAAACTTTCTCGTTTACCAGACGAGGACTCCGCAGCTCAGAAGCGGTAAGAGACTTGCCCAAGGCCATACAATGAATGTTGGCAAAGCCAGAACGAGACAAACACAAAGCTTGTTGTTTCCAAATCTCCTACCCTTTCTACTGAAACAGTATCTTTGATAAGTGAAAAAAGAAAAAGAAAAAAAGTATTTGTTGTGTATTTGGTTTTACATAAAAGGAGGGGCTTTTTTCAGGACATGGGAGAAGGGAGGACGCTAAAAAAAATGTATTCCGGGCAACTCTTGAATACTGACATGTTGATTGTATTGATTACGTGGCTTGTGGATTTCCTAGACCACTTTCTACATTGATCTTCGTCATGTCCTTACTGCATAGGCAGTTTTATTACCCCTAGACTTCTAAAAACGATGACATGAAAGAGACAGAAATACACAGCAGTCAATATATTTTAGTATTTTTTAGCTGCTTCAGTGAAAATCTTCAGGGAACACTGAACATGGGAAGCCAGAATGGGACACTATATATCATCTTTACCAAATTATTAAGATATTTATTTAAGAATTAACTGCAATTAATGTTTCTAATTTTGGTGTCAAAAAGTGAAGTTTTGGAGGTTGCCAGGATGGCAGAATAGAAGGACACGTAGCTTACCCTCTCCCACGAATCCATCAAAAACTACATCCACATATGGAACGATCTGCACAGAATACCTACTGAACTTTGGCAGAGTATCTTTTACATCAGAAATACAAGGAGAATCCTCACAAAACCGGATAAGCAACAAGTTCATACTGTATAGCATAGGGGACTATATTCTATATCTTGTAGTAACCTAAATGAAAATGAAAAAGAATATGAAAAGGAATATATGTAAGTATATGTATGGCTGAAATATTATGCTGTACACCAGAAATTGATGCAACAGTGTAAACTGACTATACTTCAACTAAAAATAAATAAATAACTCAGAAATTTAAAAAAGAAAATTTTTTTTCTAAGTAAAGTTTTTGGTAATTCCCATAGTGGCTGAACTCTGCTGAAAGAACTGACAAACTGTTAAACTGGACTTAAATCTAACAGAGGCAAATTGAGCAGGCAGAACCCAGAAAGTCAGACCAAACAGTCCAAATTGCCTGATGAGTCACATGTGCTTCTGATTCCCTAACCTCCAGCAGAAGGGCCACAGCGAGCTTGCTGCTCACAGAGCCTGACAGACACCTAAACCCCTCTGGCTGCTGGGAGAGAACCTTTGAAAGAAGGAGTCAGTCTCTGCCTGGATTGGTGACTTTTCTGCAGTTCACAACCCCATTGTCTCAACAACTCGGTTAAATGCCCAACATCTATTTTCTCACTAATTTAATGAAAATCATGCTGTGTGCAGCTCACTAACATTGGATGGAAAATAGTTCATTGCTTCCTTAGGAAAAAAACAAAATAAGCAACCATTAGAATCACCCAGAATGAACGGGGAAATTGTGTCGGGAAAGAACAGGCTATAAACCTGTGCATCCAAGTTCAGGCACAGACAGTGCCTTAGGCAGAGACTCTGAAAAGCATCCTGCACTAAAATATAATAAATGGGATTTTTTTTTTTTGCTGCCTTGTAAAAGTGATAGGTTTAGTGCTTCTTAATGGCAGAAGCTGGCATGCCTGAAACAACCCCAAAGCCTTAACAGGACACTAGATATCAGTCACATCAAAAGGCAGGGCTTTTAGCCCAGTGGCAACAGGTCCTCTGAAGCCTGGGCTGGAACTGCTTCCTCAGGGAGGAACAGTAAGCGCCCAGCAGCCTGGATCCCCCCAGTGAACTCCCAGGAGAAGGGACCTCGACTATTTAACTTTCTCACCTAAATAATGATCTCTGTAGTCACAAATAAAACAACATACATCACTTGAAAGCTCTGGGCGTATTCCACTGTCTTTCGGATCATAAAGTTGAACAGTATTGCAAGAATCTCTGGTTGAAACACCATCCTTGGTGTTTCTTTTTCCATTACTTGTCCAATCAATCAGTCATCCATATTCCCAATTCTAAAGCCTAAATATCTCTAAATGTCTCTGGAATCTATTCTTTCATCTCCACACTGCCATTAGGTTAATCCAAGCCCCCATTATCTCTTACCTAGAACACTAATTTGTCTCTTCGCTTTCATTCTTACAACCATCCTGAGTTAGCAAAAGCTGCATGAACTCTTATGGACTCAAGTCGTTTGTTTTTCTCACTTGAAGGGTAGGGTCTGGCTTAGTTCAGCTCTGTCTGTGTCTCTTTTTGGGACCAGAGGCCGTTCTCCTCATAACTGATGCTCAGGCACATCTAAAAGCCTCCGCTCCAGGCTCCCACGCTGCATTCCATTGGCCAAGGCAAGTCACGTGGCCAGGCCTGCTGTCAAGTCCCCCCCCCCCCAGAAGGAGGAGGAGCAGTCACAGGGTAAAAAGCAAGGATCCATTATTCTATAACAGTGGAAAGGATGCAGAATTAGAAACGATAATGCAGTTCACCACATGGGTCTTATGTATTCACCATATCAAGCTAGAGAGGTCTTTTGAGTAAACAAATTAAAGTGACACTCCCCTTCCCATACTCTTCAGCGGCTTCATTACAGTTAAGCAAACGTGTCCTGTGGGCCCTGCGGAACTGGACCCTGCTCCTGCTCCAGCCTAACCTCTCACCATTTCCGTCCCGTTTCCACACTTCGGCCGTCCTGAAGGTGGATTGTGCCTGCTCTCTCCCCCGCAGAGATTCGCTCAAGATGGTTTCTCTGTCTGGAACAACTTCCTCTCCCTTTTCTTTCATTTAAACTTATATCTGAAGGGTGTCACTTCAGAGAAATTTTCCTTGGACAACAAGATGGGGTCAGATTCCCTTATTAATGACTAATTCCTTCTAATGCTTCCTGACCACAATTGTAAGTAATGGACACTCAGTAGTCTAGTGATTGTTTCCATTGCAAAAATGTAAGCTCGGTGATTGTAGAGACATTGTTTGGTGTAGGAGTATGTAAAGAAAGTTATCTTCCTTATTCTGTCATAATAAACATTCGAAACACATACACATGCACATTCACACATGCACATATGCATGTGGGGGGATATGTGTATATACGTATGTATTTAAATATACCCACATTAATAGTTGGATACTTTTTCTTTTAATGCTCTCCCCCACTCATTCTGCCCCATCAGCACTTCTTTGCTTAGCAGAACAGAAAGAGTTTAGACAAGGTTTAATTCTCAGTTCTGCCATTTAGCAGCTATTTGGGTTGGTGATTTAATCTTCCTGAGGCTTTTCTTATCTTAAAATGGAGATGATCATTTTTGCTTTGCAAGGTTGAGGACTTAAGTGAGCTGAGCATGCGCAAACACTCGCCTGCTGTTCCCTGACCTATTCCAGCCCTCTAACCTGGTTCCTGTGCCTGACTATTCCAGATTCTACTGGACATTTTCACCCGGATTTGCTGACAGCCACACATATCTCCAATCGAACCTATCAACTTTCTATCAAAACTGACAACTCATCCTAGTTCCCTACTTTGGTTAATTTTTCAATAGGTTAAGGCTAAAATCTGGAAATCATTGTCCATGTAGCCCTCCTCTGCCCCAGCCTCTCTGACCAGTGTACCCACCAGCTCTTCTTGGTCTTCCCCAGTTTCTATGTAACGCTCCTGACATTTCTTCTCTTCAGACCTCTCTTGGGCTTTGCCAGTATCAAGGATCTGGTCACTACAATCCAGCACCTCTCTGCAACCACATTTATTCACTTAGAGTTGGTCTCCCATCAAGTCTTCAATGATAAGTAAAGCGCAGCAGCTGACAAAGCTTTATGTGCATCATAATCACATTTTTATTTGTTAAGGCCTGTGTCTATACACAAAAACCAAGTCCAGAAAGAATACAATAAATAGAAGAATACAATAAATACAGTAGGATTACCAAAATATCTATTTTCTCTTTTTATGCATTTTCTATATTACTTGGCTTTATATGACAAGAACACATTATTTTCAGAAGCAATAAAAACTTATTTTGTAAATCTAATTTACCATCCCAAAACAAATATTCTATGACTCTCTTTTTTTCCCCTAATAAACAAGAACCAAATACTTACAACTGGCATTAAGTTCTTTCATGCATGAAAGGTCTTTCATGCTTTGGCTCCAGATTATTTTTCCAGCCTTGCCTCTTACTACTTTCGTTCTTATTCCCCCATATTACAATCAAACCATGCTCTTTATTTCTCTCTCCACGTGGGGCTGAGATGGTCCCCCATCCCTATAACTCTGACAAAGACTCCTCAATTTCCACAAAGGTACACCAGCTTTACTCTGTTTTGTGCCCTCTATAACATTGTAATGAACTCTTAATCAAGAACCCAGTTTATCTGCATTTTTAGCACTCATGAGAAAATACAGCCTCAAGCATCTGCTCTCTAACTCCCATTAGGAACCCAAATTAAGAAAAGCATCACCTTCACTGTCATCACAGTCCTACCCATTAGGAGCCTGTGAACAACAGCCTCTCTATTTAATTCATAACAGCCTTGAAGCAGGGCACTGATAGCTCTAATTCCAGAATATGTTAATAATAAGTGGATATCTCACCAAATATATTGTAGAAAGATAGGGGAAAAGTTTCACATGGTAGCAACACCCAAAGTGATGGCCCGTCACTTCTCTTCTCTGCTAAAAGCCTTGTTCCTGAGACACCGCACCTGCCTTCCGTTTCTTGCCTGGTACATAAGTCTGCACTTTGGTGGTCTCAGGTCTCCACCCCAAAAAGAATGATCAGAGTATCCATCAGACAAAACAAGGCTCTTCCTAGAGGAAAATTCTACTTGCTAAGAAAATGTGATTTCTCCATATTAGTGCTCACCCTTCAAAGATTAAGTTAATGTCGTGTCCTTCAGGAAGCCTTCCCTGAGTCATCTCAGTGGACAGAATATTTCGCATCCAAACCACTATATGGTGGGTTGAATAATGAACCCTGTAAAATTATACTTAAAAATTTTACTGTATAAACTACGCTGAGGACTAGAGACACCTATACCTGATTTGGCACCTCCTTAAATATTACTTTTAGTTCTCTCTTGCTAATGTACATTAAAAAAATAACATAAAACATTTCTGGGCAAAATTGCACCGTGAGAGGCCATGGCCCTAAGAAACGATGAAAGTGCATGTGTATGAGCCGCAGACACTAAGTCCTCCTCCCCTGCTCAGTTCTTCAGATGTTATTGTCTGTTAGATTTTAGGGGGATAAAAGGCAATTTTATTTCAAAAGCCATCCTTACTCTTGGTTTAAAATGTACAAGCCTGCTTGTCATTGCAAAATAGTATAAAGCAGTATGACATTGTTTCGAAGAATTAGAATCCTAAAATTGGTTTTATGGTTTTAACAAGATATTTTATCTGCAGTGATGT